TTGGTTTCTCCATATAATAAAAAGAACATTACACGTTGGCTCGAAGATATGAATTTTATGTTCTCGTGGCAAGAACAATATCTCACGAGTGAGCGAAACGAACGAGTGAGATATTGTTCTTGCCACGAGAACATAAAATTCATATCTCGCCACCGTGTAATATCCTCTATATATTTTCGCGCCAAATGGAGGCTCCTTCAAATGTTTTTCGAAACACGCGCGGTTTGAAAATTGGAGAATATCACTCGGATAATCTCCGGTTTTAGCTGGGGCATATTCAGTCACGTGATGCGTTTAGACCAATTGCGAACGAGCGAAAATATTTCATGGATTAAAATGGCTTATAACCCATGATGGCCAGGCCAATGAAAACTCTCGAACTGCATTATTCAATGATCTAGTTTTTAATAAAAGAAGTTATGAGGTATCTTCAGAAGATCATATCTCATTTCCGAGCGTGGAATAGTCTATACTTTAACAACTTGCCAGTGGGAGAAAACCTGAAAATTACCATGTTTATTTTAATTTCAATGAACTAATCTTAAGTCTGAATGAACGCGTAGGTCATGGAAGGGAAGCACGACTATTTGAATCGACGTTCAAGCAGTCCCGTTGAAGACAACAGAGTTTAAGCAATGACGACGGAAACCCCAAGGACAGCGCCTGGTAAAAAATGAATTTCTATTTCATCTGTTCAATGCACCTATCGGTCTCAGAACTTGCTCAAGTTAAATACGTCATGCCAGCATTCAATTCCAAATGAATATAAGAAAAATTAGCCGCCGTCAATCACGTTCTCCAAAATACGCAGAACTTGGTTATTTCACGTTGTGGTATTGCAGAGGATGGCTAAGAAATATACCAAGATTTATAACGCACGTGCACAGCCATTGTTTGCTCATTGAACCCTTTGTTCGGTGACGTCAATTTCCCCTTGGCGTATCCGTCGTGGTTTGCTTAAACTCCCTAATAGCAGCGACACATGAACTGAAAAAAGTTACCGTTGACGTACACTTAGATTAGTTAGATATCGCTGAATACCCAACGGATTTTCCAGCTCTCTGATTGGTTCAAACTTACACAACAATCAATTTGAAACCCTTCATTAAGCACTCAATAAAATCAATGATGTAAATCTGCTACCAAAATAATTCAATCAATGCAAATCTAACCTCATGCAAGGTGTGCTAATTGAAACGTAAAAATCTCAGTTCTACTTGATCACCCTGGAAATATTTTTTCCGCTTCTTGCTGAATAGCAGTGTATAATAGCTTTCTCGTTCCTCTACAGAAACAAAACTGTTAATCTGAAATATTGCTTGTTAACATTATGACGAGCGATAAACAGTCAGGATGCGAGCTAGAGATATCTATTGTCCGACAGTTGACGAGCGGCCAAGAGCCGCGTGAAAGACAAGAGTGATCAGTCTTATTGCTTAGTGTTTTTTACTTTTTGGCAGTACATGAAAAAACCGCGCGCGGTGCCACGAACTGTTTCTATCGAATCAGCCAATTAGCTTGCAAGAACGTTTGCCCACTAGCCCGCACTGCGCATGCCTTATCCTGTTATGGTCAAAACTTTTACTAAGTTCTGAATTCTAATCTTGTGTATCTACTACTACTGATTAAAAAAAGCAGTCAATTTGAGCAGTCTTGCTTGCTGTTTTGCTAATCTGGCTATAAGCGATTACGAAGTTCCCTAAAATATAATATTCTATTCCTCCCTTCTTAAAGAAAATGAAACCACCTAACAAAGAAGTTATCTCGCGACGGCTGCCCCGGTTAAAAAAGAGTAACTTAACCTTTTCAATGAGCCTGTTAGTATAACGGAAAAGAAAATGTCAACAACTTGTTACCAGCACAGCCTGCACGAGGTTCTGTTATCAAATGTTAGTGCAGTATCTACAGAACATGTGAACCGACGACAACATAGCGTTGTTGTCTTCCTGTGCTATAACCCTTTTAAAAGGACCACTCACTAGTAGATAATAACTAGTGGTTTTTAAGATAAGTACGTACGGACCATCTCGTGTATCGGGCTACGACACATTGGACACAACTCTATGCCATTCGCGCAGTCAGCACAACAACTGAAATGACCGCAAGGCAGGAACACCACACCCACTTCGGCGTCCATGCAGATTTTGCATGTGCGCTCCTCCTGCATTCGTTCCAGTTTCTCCTCCAGTGATTCTTCCGATTCCGACGATCTTGACGCTGGCGCGCTAAGGGTTCGACGCAGGCTGGTCCTGTTCGGTAGAAGGGTAGTAGGTGACGTCACAGCACTCAGGCAATTCCTCTCTCGGAAGTCTTCGTTTTCTCGCAGACTGGTCATACCCGGGAGCACTTCCGCGGGTAAGTCGAGGCGTGGCGGAGAAGGTGGCCTTTCGTCTTCTTGAGTCATTGGCTGAGGGAACGATTTGTAGCCCGGGGATCTCGCCTGCTGCCTTTCCAACAGAGCTGAAACGAGCTCGGGATACGAGCTGAAATTTGATCCTGTAGTTTCCATTTGAAAAGCAATTACGTCTTGTATTTCTCGCTGAGTGAAACCCATATCGGCCAGTTTCTCCATGTCGAATTCTATTGTGGTACTTCCTCTGGGAGAGCAAGAGCGGGGCCCTTGGACAGTTTCACTTGACCTCCTCGAGTTAGATTCTTCAGTACGACCGGTCTGACCTCCACTAGTCATGTGACCCTCCCCCGATGAAGTCGCCATAGGCTGGGTATACCAGGGCGAGCGCTGCTCTTCTGTTGATGGATTCCGTGGAGTTGAGCCATTAGACACTTTGCTTGCTGGATACTGTTCTGATCCTTCCCATGTACCATAAACAGGCCGAGCCGGGTTACCACTCCTGTATGGCACCTGTCGATCATTTGGACCCTGATCCAAGCGTCCGCGTTGACGATCCTCTTGAGCAGGCTGGACGCGTTGTTCAGGCGCTGTGTTCTGCCTCTGGACATGCTGTGGCCTACTATTGTGCTCTAAAACCAGGGGGCACCTGGGCGACCACTTCTTGTGCTCCCCCCAGGGAGTGTCCGTGGGGTCCCAGTTGTGGAGCATAATGCTACACTTGTAGCATTTGACTGAATCACCAGTACCCAGGTAATAAAATCCCGCGGCCGACAGATCCCACGCACGTATAGGGTGGTCATGCGGCCAGTCAACAAATGTCGTCAGACGATGATGTTCGTTGGACAAGTCGGATGATGACGTCACATGCCTTGCTTCTTCCTGTCTTATCAGCGGCCGCTGAGCTGTCTGAAGGCTCGGATCTTTAACTGGAAAGGCCATAAAGGCTGGAGAAGGCCTTCTCGTACCATGGACCATACGACCGGGGGGAGTCTGCCGCCTGCTTCTATCTTGGGGTGGCTGAGGCTTAGTGCCTGTTACATCTCTTTCAGAGTTTGTTCCAGGATACTGCTGAGGGCTATAACAGTTTTCTTGCAAAAGTTGATCCTCGCGCGATGTCCTTCTCTCTGCCTCATACAGTTGTATGGATGCTCTTGTTTCGTGCAATGCATCTCTTCCGTATTCAATTTTATCGCCTTCTCGAAACGGCTGCATCATATGCTTTACGTTTGAACCTCCTTCTTGAAACGTGGGAGTATTTTCACCGGCTGAACCTTTCTCGCTGGGGTACTGGTACCCAACTTGCTTTCCAAATGGCCCAACATTGCTCGGTGGGTAAGAAACAGTCGACTGAGGAAACTGGGTTCCACCAGGCATTTGTACTTGTGAACCAAACTGGATGGGTTCTCTGGGAGCAGGATGTGAACCAGTGAGGCATTTCTCAACAGACGGAAGTCGACTCGTCTGATGAGCTCCTTGGTAAACAGGTTGTAATTCTCTTTCAGACCTCACCTGTGGGGGGTAACCTTGTCCTCCGCCATGTATGTAAAGTTTGTCTTCAGGATTAAGTCGGTAGACTGCTGATCCCACTATGTGCACCTGATTTGAGCCCTGTCTCACCACCACGTGTTTATTTCTGTCTGTTCCTGTTTGTTCGTGTCCTGTGTACTCAACAAATCTCGGCTCTATTCCTTGAAACTCTTGTGTTCCCGCTGGATAATAAACTGGTTGAAAACCGTTTTGACTATCAACAGGGTAGGACCGCTCTTGGTTGCCATACACTCCTCCTTCCCCTCCCCCTTGGGTGGCATACTGTGGTCTTTCCGGATATACCAACTCTTCAGGATCGTCACGTGGACTGCCATGTTGCTCGGTTTGATACATGCGATCTCCATATCTTGGGAAAGCTGGTGTAAAAGAAGGCTGGCTCGGTTCTTGGACACAGGTAGAAGCTTCCACAGGACGACAAGTCACCTCATTTTCACATTCCCTGACAAACCGACAAGCGGGTCGATGTCGTTTATGCTCAATCCACGGGTCATCGTCAGCCTTCCACTGCCGTAAATGCAAACCACACTTGAAACACTCTACTCGATCATCTGTCCCAGTGTAGAAGAAACCCGCAGCAGCTAAAGCACTGGGATACATTGGGCTGTAGGCTGGCCACCTAGCGTAAGTGTCAAGTCTCTTTTGGTAGCTATAATACTCTGGTTCATGATTCAGCATGTCCGTCTTGTCAGCGTTGTTTATGTGATACGCTTCTTGATGGTCGAATCCGTTGAAGCTATCGCCTGTATGACTTCCAAATTCTCGATCACTGAAGTCGGCCGAACTGTAAGAGGTCTGTGGAGTGATGCTGTCCGGCGCCATCGATGGCAGATCTCGACTCTCTGGGTGCTTCAGCATTTCACGTAAATGTACAGAACTCCTCAGAAAACAATCGTCTTAAATCACTGCTAGGAGAGTTCACTTCTAAGATAAATGAGTGACAATAGTAGAAATCGATTTACGAATTCTGACTTCCCTGTCGACGACAATGGCACGTAGTTGTTAAATCTCTTTGCGATACGATAGAACCAAAACTGAACCTGATCCACATTAAGTGAGCGTTGATATAGGGACTTCTCCAAAAGCTGTGTTTTCCGCTAAAACCTGGCTGAGAGCAACATGAAACATTCGACTAGAAATCCATCACGATACTATTTTAGAAGACTTCCGCTGTTGATTGGAAAACCAGCAGACCGTGAAAATCAATAGAACGCATGCTCATCTTTAGCTTATTGCGGGCTCACAGCTTTCGAGGGGGCCTGGTACAATCTCCTTGCCCACAAAATGGCGTCCGAAATGGAGAAGGTCTCTGAAGAAAAGGTGCCACAAATTGAGGAAGCAACAGAGACGAAGAAGCACCGTGGAATACCAGAGGCATTATTCCTGGTTAGTATTTATCGCTAGGTAAAGACTGGTGAGGTCTTGACATTTGTGTAATATGCTTTCTATTATAAGTATTTTTCCCTGGGAATTTCCCTTTGGGAACTTTATTTGGCTTGGTTGTCCGATTTGATTAAGCGCAAACAGCGGTAATTCAATTTCCTTGGTTGTAGGAGGACGTTGACGAATTCATGAAAAAGAGTGGAAAAGACACGGCCGAGTCTGTCCTAAGAGATTTAGATGAGCAACACCAGAAGTACAAGTTCATGGAACTAAATCTGCTAGCAAGAAAGAAGCGGTAATTTGTGTTAAGCTTAACTAATGTGTCAGCCATTTTGAAAATTCAATATCCTCCCCAGGCAATTTAAGTATTTAATTAAAGAAACAAAACAAAATTCAGGGCTTTGAAGGATTCTGTGCCCACAGCTATGCTCTGCCTACTAAGCAATTTGGGAGCTGTCAATGGTCAATTGACAGCTACCGTGAGGTTAATTGTCCTCATATCACTTATTGTAATTCTGCCTGGTTGTCCACACATGACTAACGTACTGTAAATATAATTTTTTTTGTAACATAGCACGCGTAGCAGAGTAAGATGAAATTCAAAAACTCCGCTTGTCTTTCGGGCAAGCTTTAATTTCATCTTACTAGCCCAATTTTCTGAGGAGCTAGCCCAAAATTATTTTATTAATAAGGATAATTAAATAAATTTAATATGAAAAAATAATAATAATACAGGGCTTAGATGAGCTAATTCTCTTTGATTTCCCTTTTGAATTAAACCTTATACATTAGAACATTTAGAACATTTAATGTGTGGTTCTAAAAAATATCTATACCCCCCACAGAGGGTTCATTACCAGTTTGACCCCCACCCCCCATGATTTTCCGTTCCTGGGAGTTTCACGGTACTCCCCCCATCACTTGGAATTTCCATGACTTTTTTACTTGGGTCCCTCTACCCCTTGAAAATTTCATATCCATAACTAACAAGACTTAAGTCATTCGTTTTAATCTCGTAGGTACTGTAATAAAATTTAGTGGCGGCTATCCATGCTTATATTGTAGACGAAGATGCAAGGCGGCATATTTTTCCCCAAACAGTTGTAAACCTTGATTTGGTCACACGACTTATGCTATTTTATTGTACATTATTTATGGAGATATTTACTACATGTAGTTCAGGATTAAAGCTACTGGGTAGTGAAAGATTAAGGCTCTAAGATGTAATTTTCCAAAAAATGACTGTGGAAAATTCTAGATGTAAATTCATGTCATGTTAACAGTGAGTTTGAACTAACAACTGACTTAGAAGCGCGTCACTCCCAAATGGCATAGCAACTGACTTTTTCTTCATTCAAAGAAGTTTCATACGAGAATCTAAGAAAGTACTGAAGATTTAAGGTCTTTTAAAAAACCCAGTCAAAGTTTTAATTTTTGCGTAGTCAAAACAACATATCGAATTACTTTACATGCGTAGTTTATAGTGGTAAAGAAAAGCTGTCACACAACATGTTTTTTAAAACAGCTGTTTGCCAAATATCGCTGAAATTTTTCTTTTAGGAAGGAATATGTCAATGATTTAAGTCATATGCTTTGTCTTATTTTGTAGTTTCTAAATGATAGTAAATTCGTTTTATGCCTTAATGTTTTTAATTTGTCACACGTTTCATGTACGTGAAACACAATTTATTCAGTCGTACTATGCATAACCAGATGAAATCTTAGCTACCGCTCCAGTGCTCCTTGCTATTCACGGTTCCATATGCTTCAAGACATATGCTTACTTGAGCAAACTATTAACTACATGGATAACGATGAAAATATGTGATAACCTTGTTACAGCAAGTTTTTGTCTTGCATTGCCGCCGTTCTGTCGGGACATACGATCGGGAAAAAAATTGACTTCAGTTGCTTAAATTTTACATTTTACTCTATCTTAGAAAAAACATTTCTATTGTTTCACTTTCTCTCACGAACTGTCTGTTAAACACAACATGTGAAGTTTGCCATTAGTAAAAAAGAAAACAAAAAAATAAACAAGCAACAGTGTTTCACTCATACCCACTTCATGCTTGTCCATCGGGCAACCTGTGATAAGTCAGTGCTAGCCCGAGCGATTGTTTCACTAGTCCTGGGTTATCAGACAGCCTTTTCATCATGCCCTGGCCGTGCTAGTCCTATCTAATTCCTATTGAGCCATCATGAATGAAATCTCTATGTACACACGGCCATGCTTATATAAGATGACATGTGCAGTTTCAATTTAGCTGCAAAATTTCTGTTGAGTTTAGTGCAAGTTCCTTTTGTTTAAGTTTCGCCAATGTGAGGATTATTCTGAACAATCCAAACTCTACTTTGAGCCTTTGACTTTTGCCAGCTAAGATGTTTACTTAAACTTGAGTATTTTGACTTTGTTTGTCTGCATTTTCACTGAGTATTTTTCACTTTGTTTACCTACATGTTCATTATAATTAATTCGAAGAGGCAGATTTTTCATTGACAATTTTAGAAACCAGGTTAAGTGTTTTCGTTCAACCGTTGCTCAACTGATTGTGGTGTGTTAGGATCCTAATGACCTTTGTTTACCTTCACCGTGCATTGTGAGAACTTTGCAGTCAATCACAAATAAAACATGTTTTAGTGCCCAAGTTGTTGTCGCCACGTTATAAAAAAATTGGTTCATGCTTTTAGCTGTGTGTATATCGAGTTATAGATGTACTTGGGAAGTGTGGTGAGCACTCAAGAAGCTTATGCTTCTTATGTGCTCTCCGAACTTCCCGCGTGCATCCATAACTCGATATACGCACAACTAAAAGCATGAACCAATTCTTTAATTTACAAAAGTATGGTGTGCAACCATTACCAACTCAGACCATTAAGCACATTCTGCTCCCTTATTTACTAAATTGGGCATTTTAGGCATTTTTCAAATCAACTTTTTTCAGATATCTAAATTAATGTTTCGTTATCACAACAGTTGTTGCTCCTGATGTTTCTCAATTTGTAACAAATAGTCAAGTACGCAGTTATGGCACAAGAACAGCTTGTAGTTATCGATCACACCACTGTTGCATAAATCTTAAGCAACTTACTATACTCTTCTTACCCAGCATCCACAACTATTTCAACATTATTTTCCAGCTCTAAGAAAAAAAGCGTGTACATTTTTTAATGAAATTGTGGTGAATTGGCAGGGCTGTGCTCTAGAGGTGCCTGGATATCGCAGGTGACTAACTTTTGCCTTTGGGTGAGTGGAAAAACTTACTTTTTCATCTAAGCTTAAGTGCTGGGCACCTAGGATTTTATAGTTAGGGACCTTTGGGCTCCTTGTAGTTTTTCTTAGACCACAGCCGTGATTGGTCATGCTGTGCACACAAAACTCAAAATTGAAGCTAGAAGCCTCTTTTTTTTGGAGGTCTCCTTGCCACCTTTTTGTTTGCTTCTGTTTTTTCTCAAGTGATGACCTGTATATTGTGCGACATCATCGCTTTAAGCCAGCGTGCTGCATTCCTTTGGATAATGATTTCTCACTTACTTCGTTGTGCTTATGTCCGTTGCACTTATGTCGCGCACAATTTATCCCTCTGTGGAAGCAAAAATGCATTCTGGGAGTTCCTTTGCTGCTTTCCTTTGCTGTTTGTAGGTTCGGCGGAGTGCTTTTAATTCTAGCTGTTAAAAGAAGATTTAGGGGTGGATTTTGGTTTATACAGTATTGAGTAAATTTGCATTCATGAACAAACTCATAATAAAAACATATCCTCCATATATACAAGTTTAGATAGACAAGTAAGTTGCAGAGGCCATAGGTGAAGGCTTTGCAGCTTTCCTTTGCTGTTTGTAGGATCACCGGAGTGCTTTTAATTGATATGACAAGTATACAGTGAGGTAATTAGTGTTGCCCACTATTTTTAAAGATAATAAGGTGTCGATTTCAGAGAGAGTAACTTTTCCTTTGCGGCTTTCCTTTGTGGCTTTCCTTTGCTGTTTGGAGGATCAGCAGAGTGCTTTTAATTTCAGCTTTTAAACAAAGATTTGGGGGTTGATTTTGGTTTATACAGTGTCAGATAAATTTGCGCTCACTGGCAAACTCATAATAAGAACATATCATCCATACATACAAATTTAGATAGACAGGCAAGTTGCACATGCAATAGCTGAAGGGTCTACATAAATTTATGGATTGGTAGGTCAGTTGTACATTTGCCAGTCTTGAAGTAAATTGAATGAGCATTGTCTGAATTGAATGAGCACTGTTAGAGCACTGTATGAGCATTGTATGAGCACTGAAATATACGCTTTACAGTAGTGATAATGAAGTCAAGGTATGATTCATTTGCAGTTTTCAGTTTTTTATGTAGTTTTGGAAATGTGCTGTTTTATATTTTCTGTCAACGAAAGAGTGGTTGTGATTATCAATTATTGATAATCGTTTTGTCAGGGTCAAGACAATACAAATGTTCATTGATGACAAGTATACCGTTAAAACAAAAAATTAATTTTTGATAAGGTAATTAGCATTGCCAAATAATAAGGTGTTGATTTCAGAGAGAAACTTTTACTTTGCGGCTTTCCTTTGCTGTTTGTAGGATCAGCAGAGTGCTTTTAATTTCAGCTTTTAAAGTGCCACTGAAA